TTGACAAATACTGAGAGCCACCTCGTTGAAATTAATGGCGACAAGAACCCATTTTTGTTCTCTGGGACCAAAGTGACTGATGGATTTGCCAAGATGCTCGTTACTTCCGTTGGTATGAACACGACATGGGGTCAAATGAAGAGTCCCATAAGCGGAGAAAATGATGAAGAAACCCCTCTGCAATCACGCCTGAGAAAGCTTACTTCAACTATAGGCAAGGTTGGTTTGGCTGTGAATGTTCTGTTAGTTCTCTACTTCACAGACCACACAAAAGATCATGAGAATGGGAATAAAGAGTTCCATGGAGGCAAGACTAAGTTTAATGACATTGTGAATGGAGTTGTTGGAATTGTTGCAGCTAATATTGCTATTATTGTGGCTGCGATCCCATACGAGCTTCCTTTGGTTGTGACTTCAACTTTGGCTTATTCTGTGAAGAGGATGGCTAACATGGCTATGGTGAGAAAGCTCTCTGCTTGCGAGACAATGGGATCTGTTACAACCACTTGCACTGATAAAATTGGGACTCTTACACTTAATCAGATGAAGGTGACTAAATTATGGCTTGGACAAGAACCTATAGAAGGGAGAGCTCATGAATCATTAGCGCATTCAAAAGTACTTCGACTAATCCAAGAAGGGGTTGCCCTTAACACAACAGGTAATGTTTACAAGTCAAGATCATTATGCTCTAAGCATGAATTTTCAGGTAGTTCAATAGAAAAGGCCATTCTTTCATGAGCTGTTCTTGATTTGGCCATGAATATGGAGGAATTGACACAAAATTGTGCCATCCTTCATGTTGAAACCTTCAATTCAAAGAAGAAAAGAAGTGGTGTTCTGATTAGAAGAAAAGTTGAAAACAACATTCATGCACATTGGAAAGGAGCAGTTGAGGTGGTATTAAACTTGTGTTCGAAATACTATGATGCTTTTGGCAATATAAAAGATCTTGACAATGACAATCAGTTAGTGTTTGAGAAAATCATTCAAGGAATAGCAGCTAAAAACCATAAGTGTATTGCTTTTGCACATTTAGAAGTGACAGAAGATGATGAAGAAAGAATCAAGAAAGTAAAAGAAGATGACCTCGTCCTCTTAGGACTTGTTGGTATTAAGGATTCATGTCATCTTGGTGTCCAAAAAGCTATACAAGATTGCCAACAAGCAGGTGTAAATGTAAAAATGATAACAGGAGATAATATTTTCACAGCCAAAGCCATAGCCACAGAATGTGGCATCCTTAAGCCTGATCATGACATGGCAGAAGTAGTAATTGAAGGAAAGGTGTTTTGCAACTTGTCTCTAGAAGAAAGACTAGAGAGAGTGGAGAAAATATGTGTGATGGCACAATCCTCCCCCATGGACAAGCTTCTCATGGTTCAATGCCTCAAACAAAAAGGTCATGTAGTTGCAATAATAGGGGATAGTGCAAATGATGCAATGTCATTAAAGAAAGCTGATGTAGGACTTTTCAAGAATATTCAAGGCACTGAAGCTGCAAAAGAAAGCTCAGATATAAGTATCTTGAATGATAGTTTTGCCTCTGTGATCACAATTCTAATGTGGGAAAGATGTGTCTATCATAACATCCAAAAGTTCATTCAATTTCAACTGATAGTAAACATTGTTGCACTAGCAATTAATTTTGTGGTTGTTGCATCAACAGGTAAAGTGGCATTAACAACAATTAAACTATTATGGGTGAACTTCATAACAGACACTTTGGGTGCTCTAACTCTAACAATAGAGAAGCCTACAATAGAGTTATTGAACAAACCCCCAGTAGATAGAACTGAGCCTCTCATCACTAACATCATGTGAAGAAATCTCTTAGCTCAAACTCTATACCAAATCACGGTCCTATTGATATTACAGTTCAAAGGTGATACTTTATTTGGGGTAGGCCCTGAGGTTGATGACACTTTGATTTTCAACACATTTGTGTTCTGTCAAGTGTTTAATGAGTTTAATGCAAGGAAGCTAGAGGAAAAGAATGTGTTCAAGGGAATTCACAAGAACAAGTTGTTTCTAGGGATGATAGGGATAACCATTGCGCTTCAAGTGATGATAGTGGAGTTTCTGAAGAAATTTACAAATACTAAGAGATTGAATCTAGGGCAGTGGAGAGCATGCATTATAATGGCAGCTATTTCATGGCCTGTTGGATGGATTGTGAAGTTCATTCATGTCCCAAAGCGGAACAGATCCTCTTCGGCTATTCAATTGACAGGGAACAATCAACATACATCCTCTCTGTTCAGTATATTTTGATTGTTGACTGCTCTGTCTGATCTTCCTTGTTTCACTTTTGTATAGTGTATTCTTCTTCTCTTGTTTTTGGGTCTGAATAGACCAAGTACCAACAATGAGTTACCCCACAAAAAGGCAAAGGGGGGGGGGGTGGGATATCCCATAATGTGTATTCGGTACAGTGTATTGGAGGGTTACTCTCATGTTTGGTTCTTCTTTTTATATAATGCAATTATTGTTGCTGTTAAATATGGGGCCTCTTACCATTACTGGTGCTCTCAGATTTCAGATGTGGCAATACTATACAATTAAGCTTTCACAAGTATAACATGAAATAGAATTTATAATTGTTTTGTATAAAGAAAAATTTATAATTGTAAAGAAAATATCATTAAAAAGTCCTTGGTAGAATCTTTACAAGGTGTTGGTGAAAAGACTTGTATGATCTCGAGGTGTAACCCAACTTCTAATTAAACAAATGGGTTCTTGGAGTCTCATGCCGCAGTTTTCCCAGATGCTAACGTTTGAGTCAGGCACGATGAGGAAAAAGATAAATTGCATTAAATGAAAATGGTGCACAGGTGAAGAATAAAATGAATTGCTAGTAAATGCATTAGATAAAAAGCAAATTTTTTACCAAAAAAAGAGCTAATTTTATTAATCACCAAAAAAAGTTACAACACACACACCAATAGTCTAAGTCAACAAATACTCAAAAAATCTAGAATATAACATAACGCAACTCCCAAAAGCAATAAAGCAATAAACCAAGTAAAGATAGCAATCAACCAACTAAATTAACCAATACCCTCGTTATTCCCAAAAAAAGCAAATTTAATTGCTAGAAAATGTAAAATATAAAGTGTCAGATGCTAGGTCTAAAAATTGATAATTTTTTGTTCTATCCTGACTTAGCCATCCAAATTTAATAATGTTTACTTTTATTGATCTTAAGAAGCAACTCCCCCAGATATCCATCTTTGCCCCTCTTTGCACTCCCACATTTTGAGTAGAGTTGGTAAACGGGCGGGCCTAGCCCATATAGGCTCGACCCTTATGAGCCCGGCCCTTATGGACCTAGGTCCTAAAGCCCGGTTGCCTCAATTTTATTTTAAAATTGAAGCCCGGCCCTTATTCATAGGGCTCAGAGCCTGGCCCGTAAGCCCAGATAAGAATAAAATAAAATAAAATAAAATTCAACATTAAAATTTATTTAAAATATTTTAAAATTTAACATATATCAAACCAAAGTCTCACATAATCTAAAAAATGAACAAAAAATTTAAAAGTCCAAATAAGATGAAGGCAAACATCATCATCAATCCTAATCAAAATCTCCCTCATTATCATCCATAAATAAAATATTAAAACCCTCGAATATAGGTCCACTTGTGAAAGATGGAGGCGGAGGCTCAATATTAATTATTTCTGCAGCTTCTTCATCATCACCTACAATAATTATTAATTAAACTGTTTTATTATCAAATATATATCTATACATATATCACAAGATAAAATATAAAAATTACTATAAAATGGCACAAAACAATTCAACCAATTGCTGGTACAAAATACAAATCAATATTTGCACATTATCTAAAAAAAAGTGAAAACAATACTTTGTGAATAGTAAAACGGGCTTCACGGGTCGCCCAAGCCCGAGTCCGTTTTTCTAGGGCTTAAAAGGGCCGGGCTTCGAAGCCTGGTTATCCTAAAAAGTGTCAAATTTTTAAACCCGAACCCTTATTAAAACGGGCTTAAACGGGCGGCCCGTCAAGCCCGGGCCTTATTCCCGACTCTAATTTTGAGCATCATGAGTAAAGTGTATAGGTATTGGTCTTAATTTAATCTTTGATTTAATGGCTAAGGCTTTCAAATTTTTCTTCATTAATATCATTTTAATGCCTTATAATTTTACAAAATTTTAGTAATTAATATTTTTTCTAAAAAAATTCCCCTTACAAATAAAGTGTTTTTAATTAATTCAGAGAAAAAAAAATATTTAGTCAAGAATAATTTTGAAAATATGATATAATTTTAATTTTTTATTTAGTTATTTCTTTATGTGAAACAGGTAAATTTATATTCTAAAAAGAAAGGGAAAACACAATCCAATCCCTATAATTTTATTAAGTTCTATTTTTAGTTCCTATAATTTTTCTAGTATTTTCAGTCATTATAATTTCAGCAAGATAAAGTGACGTTTGTTACCTTGATCTTTATAGTTTTAGTACCTCCAGTGGTTTCAGTACTTAAAAAGACAAAAAAACACTAAAAAAATTTATAAGAAATAAAAGTAAAATTCAATAAAAATATAAAAACCAATTATTATGTTTTCCCAAAATGAAATGAAGGGAGTAATGATTTACCACATTCCTTGTACAAAGGCATTTGAACGTTACTAAAAAGCACTTGATTTAATTGGCAAGATATTAGCTTAACCAAGGATTTCAAATTTAAGCCCTCCCAATGCGGCAACTGAGCAACATTTGGTGATAGAGATTCCACCTAAAAGAGTCCCAACCTGGCCCACTCTAAGATTAATTGGAGTCGTAGATATTCTAACATTGAATGATTTACTAAAAAAAACGACAGAACGTTGAATTAAACTTGTGATTGACACTTGGGGCACTTCTATACAAAAATGCAAAGATCAATACACAAAAGATCTATCAGAAGTCAGAATAGAAACTCCACAATCCAGACTAACTTTTAGAAAGCCACATTACGATACAAAGAGAAAGATCTAACAGCTAAAGAAGCTTCTTCATTACTTATTTATTATACATGGAAGTACCCTACTTAGAGCTGGAGGCATAGTATGAGACTATGAGTCTCTCTCAGCCAATGCCTCCCTGTACTTTTCAACTTTATTAAGTAGGGCCAGAGAGAAAGTGTTGAGAAATTTGGACTCGAACATAGGAGAAATAAAAGATGGCTTTAAGGTTTCTCCCAAACAAACTTGCAAATAATGTACACCAGTTCCAACTAAACTAAGCAGAAGCAGTTTCATGGACTCTGCCACCGCTTAAGGGAGCAAAACAATCATAGTACTCAACCAGCACCTTCCACCCACCAGGACACATGAACCCATCAGGAGGACTTTCTTTGTTCCTTGCAAGTGTTCGCATCTGTAAAACGAAGTGGTTTCAATACAGTCTTAAGATACCAGAGTTATGCAAAGAAACAAACAGAAAAGAAAAAGCAGACATCAAGTTACTAAAAAGCACAAGTTTACAAGAAGGATAAAACCGGATTGCAAATTATTTGTAATTTTTTACTTAGATTGTGGGTGTGGTTTTAATAAAAAAAGAAAAGAAAGAAAGAAAGTAAATAATGAATCTGGTTCCAGTTCAAAAGAGAAGCATTTAGATGCAGTATTATGCCTTCAAAATTTAAAAAAAAAATGTTTAATAAAATAAGCAAATATTATTCCATAACCAGGTGTTAGTCTTAACTCTTACCCTGGTTTGGATGAGGAGAAAAATAGGGAGGGGGAAACTCCTAAAAAAGTTTTGGAAAAAAAAATACCATTTTTGGAAAATTTTCTCTCCTCCTTATTTTCTTTCCACTCCCCCCTCCATCCAAACCTAGTTTTAAGGTAACAAACATTTTCTAAGAAACAAAAGGGGGAAATGACAGATAGGTATTATCATTACTTTTTTCTCAGTCACCGAGCAAACACTCTGCATACCTTGGTGCCTGATATGAAGAGGAAATCTTGAGGTCTTGAGGGGTCAAAGAATGCCATTTTACCCTGAGTCTTGTCATAAGCAGCAACCTGCAAATGAATTCATCAGCATATCACGTCAAAACACCACCAAACCTTATTGCTTAAGAACGCAAGCTTTTAAAATACCTTAAAAGGAAGGATATTTAGACGCTCCAGTCCAGGTGCCATCCCCAGCACTTTCTTCCCATGGTCAGCATCATAAAGATCTCTTTTCTCAATTGGGTGGCCCATGCCTGCCGGGTCCCGGCCAACAATGTAGAAGTTAGCCCCTGCATTAATCCTAGCCTTTGCATGCCACTGTACCTCGGTCGGTCCAGCATAGTGCATGGGAGAAGGGAATATAGACACCACAGTTGTCTCAGGGTCAAGAACACCATCCTCAAGCACCTATGGAAAGATCAAGGCAATGTAAGTTAGTTTTTGTGTCCAAAAATCATAACCTAAAATTTGGTGGAGATCAAATTAACTTTGCAGCAAGCAGATAAGCTACTCTCCTTAGCAAATACCGTGCCGGGGCAATTTAAGTTATACAAGTGAGGGGCACCTTTGGATAGACCTAATGAATCAGGGACCAATTTATTAGTTTACAAGTTTTTAGCACCCAAACCTTCTCATGCTGTCTCATCCGCCATTCAAGCGGGACATCATCGGCCTTGGTATAGCCTCCCAGTGGATGAAGAAGAAGGACGGGATTCTTGTAACCCATATCAAGCAGCCGCCTGCGAGTATCAGTCATCAGCAAAGCATGACCATTGTGCACAGGATTTCGGAGCTGGAAAGCAAACACAGCATCAGCATTGCGCCTAGTGAACTCTTCACGGAGCTCTGCTGGAGAGAGCCGAAAGTGATCAAGGCTGTCATGGTACTTGATAGGTTCAATAACCTCTAGGTCACCCCCAATCAGCCAATTTCCGGCAGGTGTTATAGCTTCTTCAACATAAGGCAGGCCAGGAGCAGTTGTTCCCCAAGTTCGGGCAATTCTTTCTTCTTTTGGGTGCTTATAAATTTCAATACTAAAGCAAATAAAACAGCAAATTTATAAGCCATAGAAAAGAAAGGCAGCTAAACAATAAAAAAGAAAGACTGAATTATAATTCAGGAATGAAGGATACAAGGTGTATCTCAACGAATGATTACCATTTATTCACTTAGATCAGGTAGTGTTCAACAAAATAGACAGGGACACACCTCATAATGATAAATATATCACGCAGCAGATGAATAAATAAATAAATAAAAATTGAAATGCTAAGCTCCAAATAGGATAGACTTTCCAATTTAAAAAAATGCATCATACCAACACAAATACAAATTGGAACACCAATTCTCCTCATATTTTGTGAGAAAAAACATAGTGGATGCAAAATTCACCAAAACCGCAGGTTGTACCAATAATTAAATAGGGTAAGATGACTTGACAACTTATTCTAATGCTTTTTTTTTTTCAATAAGCAGAGGCCGCAAGGAGCAGGCTCCACCGACAGCAAAGATTATCTCCTCAAATGTAACAAAGGCAAAGGGTAAACCCCTCCTAACTAAGTTGCTACAAACACAAGAATTGAAATTCAAACCCCTAGTCACTTGCTTAAGTGATGAAAGCCCCTACTACCCATGCCAACTTTAATTGATAACTTATTCTAATGCTTTTAAGATTGCCGCTAAAAATAGAGTTCTCCTATGCATTGGTCAAACCATATTATCCAAGTCAACAATGAATCGTGTCGTTAATTCTTATATGAGTTACGCCTATGCTAGGTCAACATAATGATGATACAATCCATCTCTCACGATTACGTATTCCATGCCCATATGCCATTTTGCCAATCAAATATGATCAAACAGGTCAAATTAGCAATATATCTACAATGGGATTGTCAAAGACAATCTAATTGTCTTGTGGGACCAACAACAATAATAAGAAGCCTTATCCCACAAGATAGGGTCAGTTACATGGATTATACAATGTTATTGTGCTTTATCATTTATTAAGCTTTAAAAAATATTGTTAATTAAGAGGATTTGATCAATAAGTTTCAAAAATGTTCTCTCTAACCTTCCAAAAGTACCCTGTGGGACCAAATGGATGAAATAAATTACATAAGACATAGACAACATTAAACATGTAAAAACTACAAATAAATCAAATATCCATCTGACAATGCTTTTTACAGAACACCTAACCATCAGAATATTTTCTTCCACCCTCTTTTTCTCCCTTATTTTTTAAGGAAAATCGCATGAGGGGAAGTGCTGAGGAGAATTTGATATGTGTTAATAGAACTAGAAAAACAAATATAATGGTTTCCATAATAGTTAAGCTAAAAGAACAGCAAGAAGAGGCGTGTGGGTTCAAAAGCCAAAAACAATGCATATTAATTTAGTAGCAGTCATATTATGATAAGCTTTAGTCCAATCATAGTCTTTTCCACAGCTCCAAGTGCTATAAGATGGTTGTCTTGTTTCACATCCTTTAAAGAACAACATGCCGCTATGGTATTGAATTGAGGGCGATTGAATATCAAACAAAATCATCATATCATTAAAATGCGTAAAGGAAAAGAATTCAGGAAAGAAACTTGAAAAAGAAAATATCTGCGAAGCTTCTTTAGACAATAGACGATCTCAACAAAATGAGGCATAAAAATTAAAGTCTTTATCTCTAATTGACGACTCCGGAAACTTCAAAAATTACTGTAATCGAAAGATGTCAATAAGAGCTGTACGACTGTATAAGTGAAAATCACTCAGGTCAGAACAAAATCCCGATTTTGCAACAAGAAATCAAAAAGTGATCAGACGCGCATGAAACATGCTATAATTAACATAGAATTTAATTCAGATTTTAAGAGAGAAAGCAAGGGGGGGAGCATTACTCATTCAAAATAGCAACCGGGTTGCCCTGCTGATCAAACAGAGCCACCTTCTTGGACTCGCCGATCCGTAGCTTCTGCGCATCGTCAATGGCAAGCACGATCGGGAGTGACATATTCACGACCGACCCGTCATCAAGTCGGAGCGAATTGAAATGAAGCGTTTGGAGGAACTCGGATTCTCTCATGAACCCGCGAAGCGGTGAAGCCCAGCCTTCGCTGAGCACATGAACCCACTCAACATCGATCCGAGAGAGCTTGACCCTAGGCAAAGACAAAGCCTCCCTCTTCTTCAAATCCCTCTGGGACTCCTCCACGAGGAGCTCCACCAGCTTCCCGCCATCGGGTTCGATCAACCCGGAAGAAACTCTCAGCCTCCGGAGAGCCCTTGGCTTCGGGTTAAGGGCAAGCTTTATTTTGAAGGCGGGAACGAAATGGGAATCGAAGGTTTTAGAGACAATATGAGAAGGGAACGAGGGTTTGGTGAATAGAGTCGCCATGGACGCCATTGCAGGTGGAGACGAAGGCGTCGCCTTAGCAAAAGGGTCGATTCATATCATGGTCTATATAAACAAATGGAAGAAGGGATGCAATGGAGAAGGGTAAAATAGTAAATGCATAGAAAAGGCAGTATGCTCATTTTGAATCTTCCGATAATCATCAATATACGGGACTACAGGAACAAACGGGCGAAGAATACATGTTATTTTAAGGGACATGAATTACATGTTATTTATTTATTTAAATTAAAAGTTGCTTTCTGGTCCCCAAAAAAATTTCATGTTATTTTAACTTTGAAGGGACATGTAGATCAACGTCGAAGCCGGATCTGTCATCTGGATATTCTTTTTTTTTCTCTTTATTTCATTGTCATTTTTGGACCAAAAATTAATTATTAAATTTATTTATTTATTTAATATTAATTTCCAACTACTATCATGTTATAAACTATTCAAGCCAAATTTTAACAATTTAGATTTATTCATTTGTTTGTATTTTTATTATAATAATTTTATATATATGAAATATTAAACTTGAATTTTTTTTTTCAAAGAGATTAAATACAAATACCACATACGTTTGCTTGTCTATCATTTATCCTATATTACATGGGATGTCACACTTCACTGTAATCACACTCAATCCTTTATTACATGGAATATACAACTCATGACCTTCTCTTAAAAAAAACATGGGATATGATTTAGGAGTGTCAACAGAACAAGACAAGATTGAGATAATTGTATCTTATGTTCTGTACTGAAAAATGAATGGGATTAGATTTTTGTCACATATCTTGTCTCATCCCAAAAATTATCTCATCCCATTTGGGATCAAAACTAGTATATTCCAGTAAAATAAACAAAACATAAAAAAGAGATTTGGATAACAATATTTATTAAATTATTTAACTTACTATAACTAAAACAAGACCAAGTACATAAATCTATCTTTGAGTTACAACTACTCACTCTAATCTTATTTATAAATCACTTTTAATATATTTTACTAGATTTAAGAAAAATTTTAAATCTCATTAACTTTATTTTAAAATTTAATAAGTTTTCATGTTTACTCCTGATAAATATGTTTAAATTTTATTATTGATATTTTTATTCAAAGCATTTAATAAAAATAAAAATATAAAGAGGAGTATTGAAAATTAACAAATACTTTATAAATAAAATTAATTTTTTTCTTCTCTCTTTGCCATATAAATAGAAGAAGAGGGTTAGAGACAAAATCTGGTCCATTGAAATGGGGATACTTCTGATGGAGCCTCTTGGCAACCCTTAAATATTTATTTTAAAAGTAAGGATAAAATGAGGGGGGAAACAAGAAAAGTGATGAGAGGGGGATGCAAATCCAAAAATTCGAAAAAGAAGGAGGGGGTCAAACACAAGGAAGCGGAGAGAAGAACATGGAGATAGCGACGCCTTGATGAACGTGAACCTGGACACTTTTCTGTATCATGTAATTTGTACGGTTCTTTAATCCTCTAAAGTTTCAGTGTGAGATCATCATGATGTCATCTTGGTCGAAAAGTAATTCTGCTTTCGTATTTTTCGCATATCGCTTCTTCAAAAATTATTTTTATATATTTGTCACGATGTTAACTATTTTTTTAACTTTTATCCTTGTCTTTCCTTAAGCATAATTTTCAATGAATGAAAACAAGTTACATTTTTTTTTGCCAACAGATAAGTTACATTTAAGTAGAGCGTGCTAAAAAAGTTAGAAAAAGTTTTATTTTATTAATTATATATTTTAGTCTATGTGTAAAAACCATTGTTTTAAATATCAAATGGGTTAGATTGTTGACCGAAATCATTAACAGTTCATTTTGGATAAAAAAAACTATTTTCACAATTGATCCAGATTGAAGCAGAGTTGAGCCGTTGTTCGTAGAAATTGAAGTTGAATTAAAAATTGAAATGGTTTTTTAAAAAACCATGCAATTCTAAATATAATATAAAAAGCTTTTAAAAAATTAAGAAACTAAAAAATTCAAAAATTACACTCCTACTAAAAGCTAATTTCATTTTTGAACTATTTACATATATATAATATGATCTGAGCCTCTCTTTTAGGAAGATGTTAATAGTTATTGGTGCAAATATAGATATTTTTAAATCTACTCATTTTTTATTTAACCAAGATTGACCAGTATTTGATAAGTTATAAAATTATACTTAATTCCTCCAATCCTATCAGTAGGACATCTTCTATAAATAATTTTTAAGCCAAAATATATAACACCTTGTAATAATTAAATTACTTTTTTAAACTTTATCATTTCTTGATTAATATAAAAGTATTTAATATAATTGTATCATGATTTAAAACTGAAGATAAAAATAGAAGTACATAATATTTGTTTATAATATAAAAAAATTAATTTTTTTAGATGTATGAAACTATTAAAAATATCTTACAATAAAGACCAGAGAAAGTAATTTATAATATTATTGATTCATGATCACGTTGCGTTATTTTATTAACAACTATACGTATCATAACTTCATTTCTTATATATATTTTACATATGTATTTAATATTTTTTATTTAATTATTACATTATTAGTTCGACTATCAACCTAACTAATTAAATAATAAAAGTGAGATCTGAAAATTTTTTTTATTTAACATCTGATCCGCTTTTTAAAACATTAATAAAACCATATATAAAAGGAAATGGAGTGGATAAAAACATGAATAATGTTAGAAAATTTATAAATAAACTTTTTTTCCTTTCACAAAGGTCATAGTTTATTGACATCTTCATGCGTGGAAGTGAATATAAAATTTGTAAAATTAGATTCGTAAGGTGAGAAAATTTTTAAAACAATAACCAACTAAAAAAATATTAAGAAATTATATTATAATATTTATAAATTGCAAATAGAATGATTTAGTCCTTAAATTTTGTTTAATATGCGGGAGCCATTATTTAATTTAATTTAAAGGATAAATTGCCCCTTCATATGGATGGTGTGGTCATTCTTATGAAATGCTTGGCCGTATGGTTTTATTGGTTTCATGGAAATTAAGAAAATAAAAAAAAATTGGGCGAGTTAGGTATCAACGCTTAGCAGAGCCAAGACATAAAAACAATTTTTTTGGTCCAACGGAATTGAGAAAATTAATTTAAGCTGAGTATATAGAAAATTGGTTGGGCCTTGTGTTCGAAGAATCATTGAATTATGATAATATCATGCAAATTATATATGGAACATATTTTTTTCACGTATTATATAGATTTAATTTGACAAATGAATGATAGTCATTATAATCAATACATAATTCATTTTAATATATAGTAAACAAAGATTTTATACTCCTATTTGTTTTTTTATATTTTATAAAAGAATTGGTAAGTTCAATCCCAAAAGCTCACTGGGGATATGCCTCAAAGCTCAATATCAATAAAATCAATAAACTATTATAATGTTTTATGTAGATAATCTTTTCAGGTATTAGATCATGTATAAGTATCATTTTCAGATCATATGTGATGTGCAAATACTAGTCTTAACGCATAATATTCCATTTGTAAAATGATAATTTAATTAATAGTAGAATAGTTATTCCTTTAAATTTAAAAGTTTTAGAGGGATTAGTTTTGAAGTTTTGATTTTTTTTTAAACATGCATGCCTAATCATATTGACACCTGTAGTAACATCATTAAAAGCCATTCCATAACATTTCCACATCGGTATTATTTCTTTAAATATTTTTGTTGTTGAATGAGTTTATTGTAATTAAAATTCAATTTAGAATTTCTTTATAATTGTCCCTTAGAATTATTGGAGTTATAAGATTCTAATTAATTGATATCCAATGTCTTGTCTTCACCACCAACCCACTTATAAAAAAAAAAAAAATTAGATGGTGACTGCTTACACATACCAAATTTCAATTTAATAAACAACTTAAATCTATTCACTCAATAAATGTCTCAATTATAATTATTGACTTTCGTTAAATTTAAAAATTATTAAAATATATTTCTCTATAAAAATTCAAAACAATAATTATAATTTAGATACTCCTTATATACTTTGTTTTTTTAAAAAAAGTAAGATTTGATACTTTTTTAGTATTACAAGTTAAAATCATTGACAACTGTTTGAATAAATTTAGTTACTATTGTGGCACCTCATGATACACTCATTGAGCTTGGATCCAAATCCACACCACCCAACAAATAGTAACATTTTTCTCCTAAATATTAAAATATAACACATAGTAACATATAAATAAGAATTATTTGTAATTTACAAAAGTATAGGTTTGAATCATTTGTGAGATTTTTATTGATAAAATGAAATTAACATATATATTGTAACACAAATTATTTTTTATTGTTAATAAAATTAAATTAATCTTCACTTGCCATTTGTCACTTGCAACTTCTCTTTCAAACATCCAACTCGCACGCTTCATATTTGTAAATGAAATTTTAATGTTTTAATAACTATTTGTTTTGAATTTTTTTAAATATCAAAGAAAAATGAACACAAAAGGTTATTTTATATATTTTTATTTTTACTCTTTTAACACTAATTGATCTTACATTAGTAAAAGTAGAAAAAAGATGCGCTTTATAGTGTTATTTATTGAAAAAAATTCTTATTTTTAAAATTAAAATTAAAATTAGCTCAGAAAATAAAATATATTCTCTCTATTTAAAAATATAAGACATTTTTAATCAAATATCACATTTAATAAAATAGTTATATACTTTTAAATTAACTATATTTTTATATTTATCTCTATTAAACATTACAATAAATATAAAGTCATTCATTAATAAGAGTATTTTTTAAAAAAATAATGATTATATTTTAAAAGATTAAAAATATTTTATATTTTTATATATTTAATTTTTTTTAGACGGAGAGAGTAATAAATTTTAACAAATCAAATATTTGAACCCTTTCAAATAAATATGAGGTGTTAGAGTTGGCTCGATTATATAATTTTTTTATATATATTTAAATATTTTAAGTTCAATCTTCGCCGTCCAAATCGCTGGCCCTGGTCGTTTCCCACCAAGAAATCTGGGAGCTGCTAACCTGTCCCATAGAAGCACGGCACGCGTTGTGCACTTATTTGATGCTGACGGATACTTT